TTGAAAAACGCTGCATACGCCGAGGCAAGAAGAACCACCCATCTTAGTAACGCACCTTTGACCGAGGGCCCGCCGAGCCCAAAGACGAGCCACAGCCAGTAGCTCACGCCGGAGATGGGCTTCCCATCGCGGTCGAAGTTGGGCTTCGAGCTCGTCATCCAGAGGTGGCGCTTGAAGTCGGGTGCTGAGAAGGGCGCGTACCGTACACGTAGCAGCTTGTCTATCCAGCTTGGCACTTCGACGACGGTACGTCGATGCGTGAAGCAGTCGAATGACGCGCGGCCATGGTACGAGCCAGTGCCGGACTCGCCGATGCCGCCGAAGGGTAGCGTGGCGATTGCCCCGTGCATCCAGGCGTCGTTCATGGTGGCACCGCCGGAAGTTACCCGGCTGAGGACTGTGTCGCCAGTCGTTAGCAATTGAGCATGACAGAACATGCCGGAGCACTCACCTTTCTCGTTCTCGGCTTTCGTTCCGAAAGTCATAAGCGACAGAGGCGTGGGGTCAACTCTGTTCGCAATCTTGATGGCTTCGTCAAGGTCCCCAAAAGGCATTATGGACCATATCGGACCAAAAGATTCATCTTTCATCATAGGGTCGTCGATAGAATCGACAAGGACAACAGTTGGCGCGATGAAGAGATCTGATCTATCCGTTTCTCCACCCACAACGATCCTGCCGTTGGTGCTGTCGAGCATCTTTTTGATGCGGTCGAACTGTCGCTCATTGATGATACGCGAATAATCTTGGCTCGCCTGGGGACCGCTGGGGAAGAACTCATTATAGCTTGCATTGAGGTGCTTGATAAAGTCCTGAACTACATCTTTGTGGACAAGGACGTAATTATGCGACAAGCAGACCTGGCCGGCGTTGTGCGTCTTGCCCCATAGAAGACGTCTGGCAGCTAAGGCCAAATCGGCGGACTTGGAGACGAAGGAAGGATTTCTGCCTCCGAGCTCAAGAGCTACAGGCGTGAGGGTTTCAGCCGCCTTCTTCGCGATGATCTTGGCCACGGTCGCGTTTCCGGTGTAGAGAATCTTATCCCACTTTTCGTCGAGCAGGGCAGTGGTCTCAGGGATGGCTCCGTTGACGACGAAGAAGGATGAGGGATCAAGATAATTCTCGACTATCTCCTTGAGGACCATAGCAGTGGCAGGTGCGTTCTCCGATGGCTTGATGACAGCAGTGCAACCTGCAGCGATAGCACCAATGAACGGAGCAAGATTCAACATCAGAGGGAAGTTGTAGGTGCCGATGATGAGCACAGTGCCCAAAGGCTCCTTTCTGACACGAGGCCTCAACGGTGAGAAGGTCAAGGGATAGTCAACGTCCTTGTCATCCTTGGCCCAGTCCTTCAGCTTCTTGATCATGAGATCAAGGTCCTGAGAGACATGGCTGACTTCGGCTAAGATGGACTCGTGAGGCGGCTTGCGGATATCTTGCATCAAAGCGGCCTGGATCTTCTCGGTGTAGTCGGTAAGTCCCCAGTAGAGCTTCCGGAGCTGTACGAGACGCCATTCCAAATCTTTCGTCTTCTGGGATTGATACGACTGGCGAGCCGTGGCAACAATCTTGGGGATGCTGTCAATTGGAGTCTCCTCAAAGGCAGGAATCTTGGTATCGGGCTTCATGATGGCAGCTGTGTGAAGCAGTAAAGATTGGGTGCATGAAAAGCAGATAGGCTGGTAGGTTAATTGACAAGGGGGCAAGAAGATGATGAGATAGGTATTTTGTACGAGCTAGCGATACGGATTAGTGAACAGGCTGACTTCCTTCCCGAACAACTGAATCATCACATTACGCCAAATATTAAATATTGGTATCAATCCCGGGTTGCCTCGGCGAATACGCCATTGATATGTTGATGATATGAAGTACGAAGTACGAATACCTACTGAAAGTACTTCGTACCGGCCTCGGTATATGCTGTTTCTGTCTTAGATTGCTTTTGAAATTTGGATTACGTATGCGTGCTGCACAAGTTGCATGCATATCACCTTTTATGTACATGGATGCACTTATGCATCTGGTAGGTACTGTAAGTACGTACCTATGTATATATACCTGGTAGCTTCGAGCACAGACCAACTCACCTTGCCCTATCGACCTGCCCCACTCTCTTCTCGATACACCAAAAAGTTTGAGTCGAAATTCGACGAACTTTTTGAATTGTTCCTCTTTACATCACAATTCCAACACTCACACCAGGCAAGATTCTACTCGCCATCAACCACCCCGATCTTTAGGCGCAGGATTCGACCTCTTTGCGTCCTTATTCACAATCAATAGCAATGGCTCCCCAAACAGTATGTATAAGATGACACTGCTTTGCTGTTGGCCCAGTCTCTCTGGCATTCAGCGAGATCATGGCGTGAAACAGTAGGCTAAGGTCAATTTTCATCATGTAGAAGAAGTCCGGCAAGCAGGCCAAGACGACGAAGAAGGTAAGCCAATCTACCATATCCCTCTTCTATTGATTAAAAAGAAAATGCTGACCTGTGATATACAGTTCGTCATCAACGCCCAGCAGCCTGCTAGCGACAAGATTTTCGACACCGCCGCCTTCGAGAAGTTCCTCCAGGACAAGATCAAGGTTGAAGGCCGCACTGGCAACCTCGGCGACACCATCGTTATCCAACAGGCTGGCGAGGGCAAGATCGAGATCATTGCCCACAACGAGCTCTCTGGCAGATACCTCAAGTACCTGTGAGTGTCTCGACCTAATATTGCTAACTTCGACGGATATACGGTTACTGATTGGGATGCGTCTAGGACCAAGAAGTTCCTCAAGAAGATGCAACTCCGCGACTGGCTCCGTGTCGTCTCCACTTCCAAGGGAGTGTACGAGCTCAAGTTCTTCAACGTCGTTAACGAAGACGCTGATGACGATGAGGACTAAACGGACGGCATCATTTGATGAATATTTGGGAACTGGCAGCAGTGCATGGACTCGGCGCAGGACAGGCACTTGTATGCTATCACAGATAGACTGGGATTCCCAAGAATGAAATCCGCCGTTGCAAGCAATCATATTTGCTCTCCTCCGACGTGATTGATGATACAATTATATTTCTTCGTTCTATTTTCGTGAGTGGATAGGTAATTCTATAATTACAGTGAGTCGGTAGGTATCTTGTCTTATTCTATGGTAATGCCCTCATGACGCCTTCAAATGCCACCAAAGCCATCGCGTTAGCCGGGAACGCTCTCAGGAAACAAGGCACAAAGCCTCGCCAATACCCCTTGACACCACCCTCCGCATACACGGCCCGCGCCGCCTGCCACCAATTCTTGAACCTCGGCGTCCCATCATTCAGCTTCCCACCCAAGGGATCGGTCATGATGCGCTGCTTGACCACGTCGCTCGGGTAGCTCGTGAGCCAGAAGACCTGGGCGCTGAGGCCGCCGGCCCAGAAGTTGATGGCGGGCGCGCCGAGGCTGGTGCGGTCGCTCAGGAGGCGCGTGAGCACGTCGTAGGAGCCCCACCAGAAGAAGAAGAAGGACCGGAACAGCAGCGTGGCGCAAAAGCCCTTGTAGACGCCGGCGACCCCGTGCGCGGAGTAGATCTTGCGCACGACGTCGAGCGGCCCTGTGTACAGCCTCTCCGACTTGCGCGCCGAGTACTGGATCTGCAGACGCGCTTTTATGTGCTCGATCGGCGCGGCGATGAAGCTTACCGTGCCGCCTGCCAGGACCCCCGCGAAGCCGTGGCCGTAGGATGGCAGGTGCGCTGCCGCGTGCGAGGTCGCGGCGATTGGGCCCTCGGTCTCTGGGCGCGACGGTGACGGCAACGGTGACTTGTGCGCTCCGGGGAAGTAGTCGGGCGTTAGGCGGCCCTGGAAGACGTGCTCGGCCAGCAGCCGGCGGTACACCGTCAGCGACCCCAGCATGACCGAGTCCATGAACATCCACCCGACCAGCGGCGGCGTGGCGCCCTTGTACAGCCCGCGCACGCCCTCCGCGCGGACCGTCTGCACGAGGCATTCCAGGGGCCCGCTGAAGCGCGTCACGTCGGTCGTCTGCAGGCGCACCTTTATCGTGTCGAAGGGGTGGCCGACTGAGCGGATTGTGTCAGCATTGCTTCTTTCTTTCTTTCTTCCCGCTCTCTGACTTTTCTCCTCTCTTCGACACTTTTCAAATGCAGGCCGCTCAAGCGTAAGGAAAAAGGGATGCTGCTATAAGAGAAAGCGAGCGACTCGAGAGGATACACACGGATGAAAACTTACCCGTCAGCTTGGCGATGCCGGAGAAGACGCCGGCCACGAAACCCTTGTAGTTCTTGCTGGCAGGACTTGCCGGCTTCTGCGTCTGCTCGGCCGCCATGTTTGCGTTAACGGGCTACATTGGTATGAGCGGGAGAAAGCTGCTTGGTAGAGATTTCCGGGTTTATTGCTTTTAGCTTGTGTAGAGCGGTGACGTCTTGCGGAATGGCATGGCTTATAAACTCCGTGTTAGACCCGAGATCGGCATTCGGATTGCGAAGTTTCGGTCCCGCGCTGTCCGTCCGTCTTCACCAGACTCAGGTCACTATTATATTTATCTTGATCTGTTTCTTTTCGGCGTACGGATCCAGAGTTGTATATCGACGTCTCCGTAAAGTTCAAAACGTTAAGATAAGGCCACGGTATTGGCAACTTGGGTCGTACCAGTGAGCGCTCTCAGTTTCCAAATACCTAGTCGGCCATGCTTTTATTATCAAAATATAGATTATATCTGCCATCAGGCCAGCATACCAATGAGTTCATGAATCCATCTGACCCGGTTGACAGTGCTAAGTGTGATTCCTGCGTCCCTAAAAGCTTGCAGCCTATGACTATCAATCTGTAAACCATCTGAGCGCAAACATGTTTGCCTTGAAATCCACCCAAAAGCTCGTTATTCTTCTGCTTTTCCAAGCAGCCCCATCTCCTACACTATTGTACATAGCTTGTGTCCACACCGTCCGTCAAGACGAAGCCCTAACCCTCAGAGGTCCCACCAGCGCAAGCAGTTGCAAAAAGTGACCTCCCTGGGGCTCGAACCCAGAATCTCCTGATAACTTTGTCGAGCATGTTTGGTCATGCTTGGTCGTAGTCAGACGCCTTACCATTGGGCCAAGAAGCCTCAGATCTGCCATGGGTATGGAGATGAGATGACTGAGAACCGTGTTGGATCCGCAGCTTAAACTCTTCCGCCATAACGGTACTCTATATATTTAGTCGGAAATTTCTTCATGCAATAATCTACCCTCTCAATGGCCGCTACACCGTAGCTGGCATAGTATGTAAAACGGAGCCAACATTTGGCCGATGCGTAACACCAAAGATTGATTCAACTCGGGATCATTCGTGAGAACTACAGGATCTCCAATGTTGGCTCCATCGCACTACCTCTAGTAAGATACCAGCCCTGCAGGTGGGAGATATTTGCACCATGTATTCTGAGTTGAGTTGCACTCATTTCCTGTGCCTTCCTGAACGCATCAGGGAATTCATTACACATCAAGTATACGTGAAATGGAGGCGGAGGTGCTGGGCCATCCACTGTCAGAGGCTTAAAGGGCTTGTTCCTCGCATATACCTTGCGCAGCTCCATGTAATGGCGCCAGAATGCCAGCCGTCCGTGTACGAGCCGTTCGGCGACAGTTGCCGAACATGTGTGCACCATCTTGATGTGAGGAACATTCCAAGAAGCTTCGTCGCTGTCCACTCTTCGCTGAAAAAGACTTTGCTGAATACGCGTTGCCACGGCGTCGAAAAAGGATAAACCGCGAGGCCCGTTATCTTGATAATGCTTAAACAGTCCGAGGCTATGGCCAGATGAATATATGTCTGCTGGAATATTGAAGTCAGGATCACAGCAAAACACTCCAGCCATCAAGTCGATCTCTTCGGCTGGAACACATTTCCAGATTTCTTCGGCACGATAGCGAGAACTTGTTGACGTCTCACTGCCACCGTCCGAACAACCGACCTCTTCGGACGGAAGCCGGATTGTCTCGCCAAACCAATCATCGACGCATTCCTTGTCCCATTCCTCTAGAAAGAGTTCATCAAGGTTTGGAAAAAGCGGTAGGATGTTCTCGAGTCTGAACAACAGATCATCGACAATTCGGCAGCCTCGACCTAGGACCAGGTTTTTGACTTGTCGAGAATCTTTGGGATCGAATTGCCCGATGATATCCCAAGAGCTATCAGCAGATAGTATACTGCCTGGATCGCCTGGGGCTAGCACATCGCGACAACGCTCGGAAATATACAACCTGTCGCGGCCAAAATGAAACCACGTGCGCGGCCCTGTTGAGCGCGTACCAAACGCAATGCGGTATCCATAGTCCATCAACGCCTTGCGAGATTCAAAACACGTATGTAGTAGTGGCGGGATCGGGGCATCGCTATAAAGGTGACTCTCCCGAACGAGTTCAAATGCCACATCCAGATGGTTTTCTAGCCAGCGTAGTGGAATTTCTGGGGTGTCATCGGTTGGCGGCCACGGCTGAGGATAGCCAGTTTTTGAGGTGAATCCGTAAGACTCAAGAGACGATTGCACATGCGTGCCAGAGCGAAAAGGGATGCGGCGACGCCAGTTGCGAGCAAAATGTACGAGGTCGGGATGCAACTTGACTTGGAGAGGTTTGCTTCTGTGGCGTTCTTTAAATTCCTCGAAGGCATAGGCGATTTTCAAGTCCTCACATTTCTTGCTGCTCATGAGGAGACTTGGCAAGAGCTCACAAGGGTGTTCAAAGTCCCAAGATTCACGCACATGCACGACTCGAGGCGGTGTAGCGAAGATGTAAATCTCGCGCCGAAGTTCAAACGGAAGATAAGAGAAGAGGTGGAAGACTGGGCATGCATCCATGGTTTTCCAACTTGATGAAATCGAGGATATGAATGGGAAGGGAAATTGAGAGTGACAAATGGAACAGCTGAAGAACATGTGCGAGGGTTTCAGTCAACAAGCACGCCCCAGGTCGATTTGCTACCCGTTTTGGCCCGTGCGTCGATCTTCAACCCCTCCCTCTCACAAAAAAACATAAGAGAAACCACTCTGGAAAATTATGTATGAGGGCATGCCACTGACATGAACAAGGACTTCGTATATATTCAAAAGGTCACCTCATCCTCTCGTAGTGCATCCTCCTATTCAAGGACCAGGTCTTTCCATCAGCAGAGGACCTTGCCCATCGCCTAGGACAGCTATATGAGAACTAGAGGAAACATTTCTCACGGTTTGATCATGAATGTACTGCAACCACACTTGGCCAGTGATTTTGGATTACCAAAGCTGAAAACATGACCACCAATGCTCTCTCACCGGGCTAGGTACGTGTAAAAGTACCATTAATCAGACGCGTGCAACAATTCGCAGAAAGTCATGAATCCTATTTCGACCCCTGCAACAGACTTAGCTCGACGATGTCATTTCTCGTCGACACAAAAATCAGGCTCCTGATCGATCCATCCATCAACAATCGGTCATGGACAAAGAGGGGAACCCGCAAGATGGCCTCAAGAGCGACATCGCAACTGCAATTCGAGAATGCCTAGGGTCTTGCCCTGCTTCGAATATCTTCACAAGTTGAAGAGGCTGCCGAGATTCCTTACGATTTCCTTTTAGCTAAAGTTGACCCAAACGAAGTAATCCCCCGGCATACGAAGGAGTGGGAAGAAGCCCAGTGGCGGATGAAGGTGCCCGTCGTGTACGCAGATTTCTCCAAGACCGAGCAGTCCGACATTCTTGGCTCCGTCATCGAAGCGGTGGAGAAGGTTGTCGAAAAATACATCAGGATCTACGACGAAGGCTCTGATTTATATCCAGCGGGGAGTGGCATAGACCCACGTCTCTACCTTATCATCGTGAAGCCTTTCAACATCACTATCGGACCCAAGATGGCTCGCGCAATCCTACCCCCCTCACGGCCGGCAGAATCCAAGTCGCAGATAGGTTGGAGTGGTCGACAGCGAGTAATCACGAAAAAGGTGTTGAACGTACAGGATGCAATAAATGGAACGAGTGGGCGGCTATATAGGAGAGCTACTGGTCGATTTTCATTAATGCTGACTGGTTTACTTTCAAAGTTGAAGGGACATAAAGAGCGATAGGGCAGAGAATGAAACATTCTAACAGAATGCAGGTCAGTACCCAACTAGGGGATTTTGGCAATAACACTTATAACGGAGTATAAGTTATCAAGATCTGCCTATCATATATCCAGGCAATATTCCTCATAAGGCTGATTCCGCATTGGTCATGAGGAGGTATCAGTATCCGGTATCCAGGTTTGCTAACGCCTTAGCTACTATTAGAATTATCTGCACAGGTGAAGGGTGCGCCCACAAGCCCAATAGCATAGGCCTCCTTAATTGAAAGAATCGCCGAGTATCTAAGGTTCAAGTCAATATGTGGTATTCATAGGCCTGTAGGAAACATCACTTACGTTCCACCCACAGCAAGAAAGATGCCCAGCAAAACAAGAAACCAATGGAAGACAAACTGCGTCCTTTGCCAGAGAGTCCCGGATCGGTAATGCCAGAAGTCGGACAGCCATAGAATCCCCGGGATCGTGAGGCCCATTGGAGCAAAGCAGATTGACCCCCCTAGAGCGATCAAGTAGTTGAATATCGCTATGGCTTCGGCGAGGACGAAGGCCACGGCTCCGAAGCTGATAGAGCACCCAAGCCATGTTGCCCAGTGGATTAACGTATTCGACTGGAGATGTCTCGTGTTCCGCAGGATCCGAACAAAGAGGTACTTGGCCGCAACATGCTGGTAGAGACAGCCGCCGACAGCCAGACCGATCAACCCGACACCGTAAGAAACCTTCTTGATCGTCCCACCGGCACTTCCCAACGAGGGGTTGGCAACCCATTGGCCTGTCCATCGATATACGACCAAGGAGAACGAGAGGTACGAAGAAAACACTATGGCCATAGCCACGTACAGAGCTTTCCTGTAATCGCGCGGTTTCTTCATCTCGGAGATGACCGGTAGAAAGGCAGAACTCCCTGAGCTCGACACGAATATGATGGCCGTGGCAGTCATCCCTTGGACGAAGGTCGGGTATGCGATGACGCGATATCCGAGATCGAAATCGCCCTCTTGCGGGGCTGCGGCCGGGCGATCGACTATCGTGACTCCAACCACGACTATCAAGACGGCGATGAATATGGAGAAAAATCCTGCCCAGGTCAGCCAGCCGATGTTGCGTAATTTTCGGATCGAAGCGATGGCCGTAATGATGACCGCTGCCAAGAACGCAAACCAGACCGTACAGGCTCCATGGTTCGAAAGTGCGTTGAAGGCGATGGATAGTCCGAGCACGGCTGAGCCAGAGCAAAGAGTGTATGCGATCAAGTATAAGATACCGATGAGTTCTCTGAACCAAACACCTCCCACTAGATATCCCATATCTGCGAGAGCTACATCTGTTCAGTCATAGATTCTAGTCCAGCTTACAAGTATGGCAACTCACAGTGACATTCGGGGTGTCGAGTCTTGAAATCGCCTTGGATGATAGCGGTCCCTGAGTTCTGCTTGTTAGAAGAAGACTTGCCGATAAAATCTGGCTGTAGTAACTCACAGGTATTCATCAAACACCATCCTACAATAGATAGAGCACCTCCCACTGCGCCTATATCATACATGGCCCCAGGGACTGGTATCTGTTAGAACTGAATAGGAACTTGAAGTTTGCTGACTGCGACGTACTGCAACATGTTAGTAGCCTTCATAGAAGGTTGCCTGGAGATATGTGTAAACATACCTTGACAATATGCCGGTGGCAAACATGGTTTTGAGAAAAAGGACGGAGGCAAAGGGCCAGCTGACTTTGCGAAAGTCAACGCCATCCGTAGTCTTCTTGAAGACTTCATGGCTCTCCAGTTCGGCTTCATGATCAGATGCTGTCCCGGAACTATTGGGAAGCGGAGTAGACGTAATGTCAAGCTGCTTCTCCGCCATCTCGGGGGCAGCTCCAGGGGCCATCTTTACAGTACGTGACCAGCAGCGAAGATTGCGATGAGGATATCAGCAATGGGCAACGAAGATGTGATGCTATTATACGCAAATCGTTGATCAACGACTCTCTTCGGGCACAAGTTTACGTCCCAGTTTGCGTTCAGGGA